GCTGCCCGTCGGCTAAGCCGCCCGGGGGTCTGTCCCGTTGCACCCCCCTGACCTCAGAGCATCGGGCTCGGACGGACAAGCTGCGGGAGCGGACTACGATCTAAATCCGGTAAAACAGCCCGAAGCCGGTGCGCTGGGAATCTGCGTGCACGTTTCTTTGGCGGCGGCATGCAGTCCCTCAAGAGTTTGAGGAGTAATTTCCACTCTGTAGATCTCCACGGAGTATCACTGCAAGTAGAGCCTTTAGTTATTTCAGCGCGAGGGTATCTGGTTTCCAGATAATTCATTAACATGCACAATTGCTTTAACATGATTTAGACTTTTTTTCTTTTTCTTTCCAAACCAGATAAGTGAAAGGACAGACTGCAACTAGGGGATTTGCTGTCAGGCCACGAAGTGTGGCATTAAAATTAAAATAATTACTTGTTTATGACAGCTGTTTTCCCTCCTTTTATTTTCAGATAATGAAAGGACTTTGAAATACTGGTTTTGGTTTGGTATTTGATTTGGGATCTAAAATTACACATTCATTCAATTTATAGTTAGATTACAAGGGAAGACATTCATCTGTATCAACAAAAAGTTTCTTCTTTCCTTGCAGACAGTTTAAACTGAATGTATACTTAGGGTAATTTTCTAATCTAAGGAACTGAGACTTTATATATAATTTCTTTCCCTGAAAATCTAAACAAGAAGTGAGTTCTGCACCAAAAAGAATAATTGCTGCAGACAGATACATTTAGTGAAACAAACTTGGGCTAGATCTGAAAGCAATTAGAGAAACTGAACTGGTACAAATAATTTCTGGGTACCCAAGTGTATGTCAGGGGAGTAAACCAGATGTATGTACTTTGATTTGCCAAGATCCCTAACCCCGTTTCCACAGAGAGGCCCTCATCATCTCATTCTACTAGTTAGTCAGGAAATGAGAACAGAGATGGAAAGCAGTCAGGATTCGTGGAAAATACCAGTTTGACAATACCAGATGACAGTCAATCATTAGATTATGATCAATCACTACATATGTTTTGAGGTGTTCAAAACTTCCACTGACTTTGTTGTGGGTTTGAACTGTAAGCAGATCTAGATTGGGCCGTTACTTTGTGCTTCAGATACTTCACAAATATTTCCGCAATACTGAATGGTTCATTTTACACTTGCATTTCTTCATTAATCAAAAAAGGTATTCTGACAGAGAACACTTCCTTCCCTGTTTTTAGGGTTTTGAAAAATATAGGCCAGATTTTTATGTTATAAAAGTTCTAAAAGAAGCAGAAAGCACTGAAAAACCCTGTGGTCCAGACACTGGTACTAGCAAGGCATCAGTTGCTGGAAATTTAGTGTGCAGGTTTCTCTACAAAAGTATTTTCCATTCATCCATTTTCTTTCTGTCTTTAATTTCCAAGCCTACACTACCTAATTTCTTCACTTAAATCACACTGTGTAGCCTATTTCATTTAGCTTTCTGACAAAAGTCAGCTCTTCTGTCCTTCATTCCTTACTACTTGTTCTGCTTTTCACTCATTAGAATTGATTTGCAAAATCAGATATGTCTTCATGGCTTTAAAGAACACCAGCTTTTCTTTTACCTGACTCACTGTTCCCTTTCTCTTTCTGTACTTAGCCTAGTAAACTATTCTCATCCTTTCTCTCCCACAGAGTTTTTAGACTGGTTTTGTGGAACTTTAATACCAATCTCAATTCTCCATGCTGTCACACTTCCTGAAAAACAGAAGCACAATCTTATTTGTTTTGCCTAGACTAGTTAACAACTGTGGGCTACTCACTCTGGCTTGGGAAATGGAATTACTACCCTTACTGATGGAAGCAGTCATGTTTTGTCAATGGCTGCTTTTTGGCAGCTGCAGAGGTAGAGTGCAATAGGTTTTCCAGTCAGAAATTCTTGGTGAGGTCTCCATAGAGCTATGCATTTTAAAAGCCTGACCTGAACAATTCACACAAGATACACAGAAGTTTTCCAGCTCACTCCAGCTCCCCTTTGGAGCAGATCTCTATCAAGAATTTGACTTGAGTTTCTATGAAAACTAGTTTTCTATGAAAACTATTCCTGTTTCCTATTCTGATATGAAATACATTGGCTTAAAGTTGGTTGCCACTTAGTCTGTATAGGAGAAGGGCACTTGGATCTCCTTCACTGACAGCAGCTGACTCTTTCAGTTGCATTGGGTGGTGTTCAATGCCAGTTGGTGTGCTGACCCCCACATATATGTATGTATACATATGTGTTTTCTGCTCTACCAACTTCCTAGAGCCATGTGATTGTAGGAACAACATCCCATTAGTTACAGTTCTGAGAAGCGGGGCCACTGAAACGGTGCAATGGCACCTTGTTGTCAGGCATGTCCCCATTCATTATCTTCCCATTTCAGAATAACCTGTGCAATGACATCCCCCAATTTCTGTATCATTTGTTATCACTATATTTATAGATCACTTTATTTCCCTGATTCAAAGTTTTAAAGTGCAATGGAATTTTACACTGACAAGAAACAAGACACAAGAGTGGCAGAGCTGAGGATTTTGGCAGCTGTCTGAGAAAGACTTAGGTATTTTGCCCAAAGGAACATACGAGATGTACTTCATGTCCAGGAGGCATTCAAAGACTGTCATCGTCAGAGGGGTTGTAGCTCCTTTTTCCCCTCTCACATTCTGGCATCAGAGGAGGTGCCTTTACCCGTGAGGATTTGTCTCACCCCAAATAAAAACAAAATGTTGAGTGCAGGGACTTCTTAATATAAGGAAGTGTTGACTTCTTTGATCTTACAGCAATAATGAAAGCTTATAAAACTGTAAATACTATTTTTTTCAAGACAACATTATTTAATGCCTGGCAAAGTAATTACTCCTACACAGAGAAAAATAAAATCTTTTTTTTAATCACTTAAGAGGAATTCACCAAACTCAACTGTACTGTGAAAATGTGGTTGAAAGTGGGTAGGTTTTTAATCAGCACAAAGCTGTTCTTGAGCACACTACAGTTAAAGTAAAGAAGAATCATAAAACCCAGTATGTAGCAATTTTCAGTCTCTTAACCTAAAATGGTGATGGGTCTTTAGCCCAATTCCTGCAGAGTCAGGGTGCTGGTTTAAAATTATTAGCACTAGACATTTTACAGGCCACTGTAAACATGTGACATGAGATTAGATCAAGAACTGGTAGTCCCATTAGTTTCCTTCATGGAAGTGATTTTTAATGGTTGGTGAATCCCTGCAAAATTCATTCTGTAATTAAGGACCTTATTAGAAATGCCACATTTTTAGGTTGCTGGATAGCATATATGGTTTTGCTTTTCTAAATTACTTTGTTCAGACATCTTCCAAATAGTTGCTCAGCAGGGACACTCAAAGTATTTAAAATTCAGGAAAGGAGTTCAGAATTTTCAGTGGAAATACCAAGTTCTCCACTGGAAGGATTTTCCCCTGCTGGGAACCCAAAGGGAGTCTCTCTGTGCCAGTTCTGTGCAGGTTGGTCTTTTTCAACTATGGAGGATTTTGAAAGACAAACAAGGCTGCAGAGCAGATGTTTTATGCAGGAGGCTGCTCTGGTCAGTCCCTGCTGTACTGTGCCAGAAAAACCAGCAGAAATTCATGTTGCGCTGTGAGCAACATTCACATGTCACTGTTATCTAGTTCCCAGAAGAGGCGAGTGTTACGTGACGGTGAAATAAGCAGAGAATACTGTGGATAACTGGG